AAGGTCCACATTGGAGGTTGGGCACCAGGGTCTTGGGTGTTCCTGTCTGAGATTAGCTAACATAGGGGGAGTCTATGTGTGTCTGCTCCACCCCTCTGCAAAGATATAAACTTGAACACCTGGCTGACCCAAGCATTCAGGTGTATGCAGCCGAGAGCTTCGCTTTGAAGTTTATCACCAGCTTTAGTGATTGAGAGAAACTATTGCAAAGTAATAGGAAAAGTAAATAAAACCGGTCTTGTTAGAAACTCAATTGTCTTTTATTGTGTAAATTTTCATTACAAACCGGACAACAAATTCTGTCCTCTTCTGGTCAATCTAGTTTAATAAGGCTTGGCTTAGTACAAAGTGCACTTCTGAAGGTCAGCCGAGGTTTTGGGCAGAAATCCAACTTGTATTGTACGATAGAAAAAGAAGATGACGCAAACCTTACACAATGTGGTCAACAAAAGAGAACCAAAATCCACCCAACTCCAAAGGCAGTAATTACAATTTCTTCTTATAGAACTATACATATGGCTATTGTTTCAATACAATTTACAGTCCAAAACATAAAAAATATATATATTTACACCTTATCACTTTAAAATACAACCGTTAAATACAACCAAAAAAACAGGCTCATTTTGTCCTAAAATACATTCTTAATTCACAGAGCTTGGTATATAGGAGGGAAGCTCCGAGCTAATCATCCAGAAGCCGAACTTTCCTGGCTTATTAACTGAATCTGTTGTGGGTGAAGCAAGACCGTAGTATTGCAGTGAAATAACGTAAAAAACAGCTCCAAACTAAAAACTGGCAGATAGCAAAAGGGCTCATTTTACATTTGTTTAAATTTAATTTTATTTTATGATAAGAATTATTGCTTGTAGCAGATAGAAGCCACTGTGACTCCATGGCAAGGCGCTTTCCTGGTTAGCCCTGCTAATGAGACCTGCAGCCACTTGCAGCATTATTTGGCTACTAAGAACTTCAGAAAACAACCCGAAAGTGCAGATTTTAATATTCAGTTTTAGAAACTAAGCTTAATAAGCTCTCCAGAAAGTGCTAAAACTTTTGAACATGAGAGCCAATGACACCGTTTACACTAGTGTCCATTGCCATGCTCTGTTAGTGGAGCTGCACAATTAAAGTGAACCAGAACTGACCAAAAATGTTACCTAAGGTAGAGAAGCACCTTTTTGTGTCTATAAGTTCTTGTGTTACTTAACTTACTTTGATCGCTGCGGAACCCCTTGGATCCTAGGTCCCATCAGTACAAGGAGCATCTACTTTTTGACGAGCTAGGATTAATTCCCGAACCCTGTTACTGTCAAATGCCAAAGCCTCCACCTCCTGCGACAGTTCTGCCATTTCGGGCCAATGTCACACTAGGATTGCTCTAGACGGCTAATAGGTAGGGAAATACTTACATTTTTTCCAGCTTCTTCACTGGCTGGATGAATGAGATGTTACTCCCTCACTGGTGACTTATTCTGAAGCATTTACATCAACAAGGGAGTGATGACAGACTCATCCAGCCAGCGAGGGAGCAATGACAGACTCATCCAGCCAGCGAGGGAGCAATGACAGACTCATCCAGCCAGCGAGGGAGCAATGACAGACTCATCCAGCCAACGAAAAAGCAATGACAGACTCATCCAGCCAGCGACGGAGCGATACATGGAAGCAGGTGTGTATTTTCACTGCAGGTTTTAGGTTGCTTGTAAGAATGGAATTTCCTGTCACGTACAACTGAATGATAGGGGGCTTAGTTTCTAGAGGATTCAGGAGTTAACCTCACCCTTGGATGCAAGCGGTTTCATGTACACGCAACAATATATTTGAAGACCAGCACAGGTATTTGCAGTACCCTGGTTGCAACATTTCAGCACTGCTGTTACCTTTGAAATGTTTTAGGCCAGGTGAGGTTCACTTTTAAGTAAACCTAACACAAGAGAAATACTGGCTGCCTTTGCTGAACTAGTTCTGAAAATGATAATAACTTGGCTTTTATGCGTACCCACTGGTTTCAATACATCCTGAGTAGGGCTCAGGTTTGCACTGAACCCAAGTTCATTCAAACCCTGAAGGAAGCTGTCAGTCCTGACCCAATCAGCCATGGCTGGCACATATGGCCATATAAGGTCTATGTTGTCACCAGTATACCACCACTTTGTTTACGTGCACTAGTGGAAAAGGAATGCCCTAGCCAAAGCTGATTGTCCAGCAATGACAGCTTGGGTTGGGTCTCAACCCAAGCTCATTCCTAAACTTGAGTAACTGACCCTTGACATGTATTAGAAAAATCAGAAAAAAAAATCAAGCTCCTTATCTGCACATTTCTTCTGGGTCAGATACCAAAAATAGTGAAACAATACGGTTATCATGAGTGCCAGGAAACTAGCATTTGCTAACGGAGAGGTGAGCAGTGTCACCTTCCATATCTCTTCTGCGACAGGTGTCCTTCTTTCCATGTTAGTCCACATCAATGACACATATACTAAATTTCCAGGCAGTATCCATACAAACAGTATAACAAAACACCCCTCTAAGAAAACCATGCCCATACAAACATTGCAGTATGAGAATCCCAAATTCAATTAATTTTTTTCAAACATTGTACAATACCTCATGCACCAAATCCTCAGACTACTGCGACCCATCAGGAAGCTGTGCTTATTAACAGTAAGAAAATTCCCACCAAGTCTTTGCATTTGTGTTCTGATGGACGGGTTACCATAATAGGCAATTCAATTGGTGGCCTGGGGAATCACCAGTAGGAACCAAGTCCATCACAAGTTAAAGTAGACTCTTTGGTACTGGACTGCAGGTAGTAGCTGCGAGGTGTATTAGTTCCAAACAGAAATACAAAGAGAGAAAACCCTTTAACTGGCTGATAGGGATCTGGCTTGCTTTCTTAACCCAAGTGTGGGTGAACACGGGCACTCTGATGCCACCCAAGCTCTGCAGGAATCAGTGCAACATTCCTCCTAGAGTTCTCCCGCTCCTGACCTACTGCTTTTAGGAAGCATCAATCCCTACGAGTAGAGCTACTGACCTGTATACAGGTTGAGTGTTCTGCTTATTAATGAACGTGCTGACAGTCACAGGCTCCAAAGCTAATCCCGTCTTACTATTTTTCTTCGGTAAAGGTCAGTTTTCTTTCTTGCTTGTATTTTTACATTTTATTTGCCACAAAATGCTTATTGCATATTTCTGAGAATATCAATATGCAGGGTGCTGATAGAATCACATAGGAGCCCAGAGAGCACCCGCTGCATCCACACCCTGAGGTGGTCACCAATCTTAAACTGGGTACACACGGTCTTATTTTTTCATTCACCCTCATAGGCTGAACGAAAAAATCTGACAGATTCCTCCATCCACGCTGAATGAATCTTCTGCTGTGTACATCATATTCTGACACATATTCCGGTCTCTGTCAAATAACCAAAACAGTGCTTACAGCCAATTGGTTGCAAGCACTGTTCAGCCAACAATTTCTCAGCATGTCCCTTTGACAAAAGTCGATCTAATCTAATCAAATTCTGTCCAATTCCTGCTGAATCAGACGAAGACCTATCTGTGTGTACCCAGCTTTAGGCTAGGCTAAGGTTGCTTAGACTAATCCTAAAGGGCTCAACACAAGCACGCCATCCTTCCAATTTCAAGTGTCACTGATGATTATTCATTTTCTATGGACAAGAGGGTGCAAAAGCCACCCTGTTGCAAAATAAAAAATTCCCTTGTAAAGAAGAGGTGTTATACTCACTTGTCCTGCCATCTTCTATCTCTTTAAGAGCTACTGTGTCCGCAGAATCCTCTTTCTCCCATACACTTCTGGGAATTTAGGATTCCTTCGGCTGACCTACATCATTGCTCTTTCCTGCAATGATGTAGGGGCCAGGAGAAAGAACCACATTGCTTATCGGGGAAAAAGGAATTTGCTCTTACACAGAGAAGCTTTTTAATGCACAGGAGTATTTTCCATCCCTTTGGAGCACCATCAAAGCACCATGATGCATACTAAAGGGTGCCCCACATAGCCTAAAAGTGAACATGACAGCCTGTTTAAACTTTTACATACAATAAAAACTCTCCCTTAGAACAGTCACCATAAGCTAAAAACCTTAACCAGAAACCCCTCCTATTGGCTTCCTTCGGTTACTAGGTTTATGTTTGTTACAAAGGGCTTGCCTTTCCTGACTTGAAAGCTAATTCCCACTCAGGTGTCAATCCTGCATGCAATGTGAGCATATCAATGATCAGTAAGCATGCTCCCATTGGGCAGAGGGCTTGAACCAAGTTTAGAATGTCACATTCTTAGAGCTGTCCACCCCGATTACAGAAAAGAGCATAGAAGAAGGCTTTTTGGCTAATAATGGTAACAGCAGGCACAATATGGTTCTGACAGGCTCACTTTACACGCAGGCCTCTCTTTCTGCTGTGCTTGGCGAGATGCAATAAAAATATATGGGCGCACGTGTGTACACACCCTTGGAGACAGTGGTGTAGTAACACAGAAAGTTAATGCCATTTCGCTGCTTCCCTAAAGGCAGCATCAATCAGGCTTGGGAACTAGACTAAACATTCCTAACTGCCCTGATCAACCCAAACAGCCTCATAGTTTAGTTAAAAGTGCTGCCATTTTAAGAAAACCTATCCTTTTATCTATTGCAAAAGATGTCCTACCAGACAGGGACGTATACAGGTTCTACATCTATTTAACTTATTCAACTGGATGTAAACAATTAAAATGATTTAATAAAAAATGCGATTTCTATGCAGAGCTCAACATGGAACAGTCCATACCATAAAACACCAAACCGCATGTCATAGTCACCAGACGATTAATTGGGTTAGTGGTAATAAGGCATCTGAATAGATCTTTGCAAAGATTACCGCTGCAGTCTCTTCGGGTATAAGAATTCACTTGTATAATCAGCTCAATGACAGAGGTACAAGACACCCTGCTTAACAAGTCCCTTTATGCTTTGATTACCAGAGATGACAGCAGGCTACAAGTCAGCACCATCCTGCAAGAGAACAACATCCTCATCGTCCAATAATAGATAAGAGCGCATCACCTCAGTCTCCTCCAAGACATCCTGTAGATCCTGGGCAACGCCATCATCAAAGTCCTCTTCGTTGGTTTTCAAAAGACTGAAATGGTCGAACAGCATGATGCTGTCAGCGGGCAGATTAGTCCTCCTAGGGGTCCTAGAGATAGTGTCGGGCATGTGAGCTGCCATGGCAGCTTTCTGAGCCTTTTGTTTCTGTTGTTCCTCCTGCTGCCTGTGAGTCTTCATGTGGGCGTTTCTGCTCTTGATCTTGTAGAAGACCCTGGAGAGGATGGGGAACAAGAAAGGCAATTATTATCATTTTACTACCTATAGGTAGTGCAATGGCACTTGCTTTCTGCTGAGAGATCAGCTGAGAAGTAGTACTCCAATAATTTTTTTACATCCCCTTTCTCCTGTATTAAAATATATTTTTCAATTTCTACTTACCCTCTCCATGTTCCAGCATTGGCTTTGGCTTCCTTCAAGCAACAATAGTCCTCTTCAGGCAGTGCAACAGTTAGGTCATTCTGCCCATTTCCTGTGAGCCAAGCATGTTCATTTCATGCCCCCCCAGGGGGCATGTAATGATGCAGGGTGGGCTCACAGTATTCAAGGACTGTGCGGCACTCACACTTCATTATGTGAGCCCCACTAAGTCCATGAAGAATGACTGCCCCCTCCGCCACTGAAAGAAGACAATGAAGTTGTCCTGACATCACCCCACCAGGTAGACTGTAGTAAAAAGGTATGTACTGTATATACAGTATTTCTAAACAAAATATACTGGGGAGTGGGGAACTTTTGGGGACGGCGGGTGGAGGGTTCAATGCAAGAGTTTTGTCTTAACATGGAACCATTATAACTGGGTATAAGTATGCTTCATGCTCTATTGCAACCCTCACTGTGTTACTCTAATAGGGGAGAGCCGTAAGGAACAGTGTTCAGACCCAAGTGACGAATCACCAGACTCAAACACTGTCATGTGGGAAGGGGCAGTGATCTATTCCACCCAGGTAAGTTGAGTATACCTTGCTAAATAGTGGTCTCAGGATCAGGAAGCATGGTCACTCTGCCCTGAATGGGCAAAGTGACAGTGTCTCTTTAAGTCACTCTCTTCCTGTCACTAAAATATAAATATGAATTTGCTTCACAAAATTATACAGTCATAGCGGTGCACCCAGTAAACCTTAAAAGTAAACGTGAATCCTCTCTAGATACTACAACGATTATAGATTAGGCCATTATGTTTCATTTTTAAAAATATGTAATTTGTGCATGATTGTACATTGATGCTGAGCTCTAGTGTCATAAACAAGAACCCTCCCAGATCCCCTGACCAGCCTCAGCACCTACGTCCAATGTACAAGCCCCCAATTTCTACCTCTGTCCACTATTTCCTTCCTTCTCCATTCTGTCTAATGAATACTACCAAACTGCAGACTTCCCTTTTGGCGTACATTGTTTAACGAATGGAAATATCATTGTAAGACTCTTCCTTACTTGCCGCAGATTTTACAGGGGAACACAGATGTGGTGTCAGTTTCTCCGCTGGTGGTGCTGTGTGCAGGGGAGCTCTTTACAGAACAGTATCCAGTCTGTGTGCCGGACTTCTGTCTGCCTGTGCCAGCCGCTAAGAACCCTTTGCTGTGAACACTCGTTCCTGCATGAATACGAGCGTGACCGTTCAATGCTTGCCTGGAGCAGAAGGTCTGCAAACAACACAAATATTCAGAGCTAAAATCCACATTGAATGATGCTGTTTTACAGAGAATAATGATGTAATTATTTGCAAGTTAAAGGAACATTCTGATTAGACTCTAAAATCTAGTAAAACAATGGCATGCTTTTTCTGGTCTCTGAAAGTAAAACATACACTCCAGTTATTGCCCCAAATCCTGCATGCAATTATATAATATAATGTACATGGTCCCAAGCTTTTGTTTTTTATACTTCCATCATTCTATATCCTGTGCACATGTTCCTGAAGTAGGAAATTCTCTGGTGTTCTGAGTCTCCAGACCCTGTGACCTAGACTGTATAGGCTAGGCATTCCCAGCTCACCCCATGAATGTGTCCCTTCAGGCACCAATCAATCTTGCTTCAAGACCACCTCAATAAAATCCCACAAGGGCTTGGTCACTCACAAAGAAATTATCCACTCTCCTAATCCACCCCACATTTGTCAGACCAGAGGATGCAAAGCAAATAAACAGTCTTGCTCACGCTGACTTTAAAAAACTGTAGAAAACTTAAGTAAAAGTTCAGTGTTCAGTTCTTAAAGAAAGCCTGTACCAAGATAAATATGGATGCTGCCATTGGTGATCTGAACGAAACAATATGATCCGGGATGTCATAACAGGAGGACAGCACAGTAGTTGGTAGGTATGCCATAATGTACATGTATGCTTTTCAATAAATTAACAGCTTTCTCAATCTTTTTTCAGTCACCCTTTAAAAAGTATGCAAAAAGTATGCAAAAAGTATGCAAAATGTAAAAACAGTACATGCAAAAAATGACAGTGGACTCTCTATACAAGAAAGGGGTCTGGTATGGATTTGAAAGGGGGGGGGGGGGGGGGGGG